CAATTTAGGATGTACCTACCTGCAGTATACCTGTATACCTGTAAGTACCTATGCATACCTACAAATATTAGTATTCTACTTTTCCGCACTGGAAAAGTAATACGGAAAAGTGGTACTTTCATGATCTAAAATGTGTGCGGAAAAGTGTACATTACCGCACGCTCGTAGAAAAAAACAAATTTATGAAGAAAATTGATTAAATCCGCATACGGCGCCATCTCTGATAACCGATACGAAGTTCGCCGCGAACGTCTGACATATCAATCTGAGAGCTTGCACAAGGATATTACAAGCTACAAACCAAAGGATTGCTTATCGGCATTTTTTGAATCAACTTTATGATGTACTAAACTAGCACTGTTACTGACGTCATCAGATTTTCTATTAGTTATTTGCGCCAGCGGTCGTAGTTCACATTATTACCTTTCGATGGAAGATATTCAAAGATATTACATACTATACAGGATAGCGTAACCCGCCTAACCTCATTAGGCCTGTGTAGTTCAAATCCCAAGCCCCCCACCCGGCTACAGACCAAAGTTTCAGTAATGACGTACATAGTGTGTCATTTCTAGCTTTGATGTAGGGTGTTTGCACCACAGGCTATGATTCCGCTGGCTTTTGCTTTATGCATTCTTGGTCTCAATACACAATTGATTACCAACCTTGAAACGATCCTTTTTTAGATCTCGTTTGCATCTTTCTCTTTGCCTATTATTAAATATCGCTGACGCAAACGCTAACGACACCGTTGCTGACGTCGGCATCGGTACAACACCACATGACCTTGATTCCAAAAATTGAGGCCGATGAGCAATCCTGTAGTACTATCTAATATCCCTGGATATTATTATATTTTGATAAGCAATAGGCAAAGCTATAGTGACTCAATAAACCCTAGTTTCTGAAATCCTGTATATTCATAATGAAAATGAGGAAGAATATGTCGTCGGAGGCGTGGCTTACTTCCATATGATGTCATCTTGGGGTGCCTTATGCAGATTTGCATTATGATGATTAAAATATTGTTTATGATGAAGTATTCTAAGTTATTTATATATAGGTATTGCGATTTTTTTCAAATTTACCGACGGGTGAAACCGCGGGGAATAATTACTGGTTATTCATATAACTGAATTTTGTAAAACTATCGAATACTATCGATAGTTATCGTTGGTATGATCTAAAAACACTCCACCAAATAGGATTGCTCAACGTCATAAGGGATAAGTTTTCGAGTTAGCTGCAGGTCTGCGGATGACGTTACCACTATTAGCAGCTGATAGTAGTAACGTCATTTGCAGACTTCAATGGACTTCCTACGATTCAGGCCGTGCTTGCGAGTTTTCCGTTGATTTTAAAAGTAGAAAAGTTGATTTTAACGTTTAGGAATTTGGTTTTCTGACTTATAATGTATTAGGGCTGGTTTCCCAATACTTAATCCAGATTAGTTGTTAAAACCAGATTAAGACTTCTTTTTTATATGCAAAACTTCGAACTAAGCGAGATTGAACCCCCAAGTCCATACGGTGCATATGGGTGTTAGCAAGTCATCCTCGAGTTAAGCATAACTTCAAGGTAAACACTGTAACTGGACACGTTTACCCTGGAGTTAAAACCAACCTGGAGGTGACTCGCTATTGAAAAACCGACTTTTAAACTCGAATAATGCATTTTACGGTTACCCCAAGAGTTGAGGTCTGTCATTGACGTCATAAATAGTGGGGAGTTATCGCGTGGACATGGCAGACACTAGGCAATTTTTCGAGTATAATCTGATTAGACTGGGTCAATGGATAGGTTATGTGATGTGTCAATTGTGTCAAATTCCCAAAGCATGTTTATAGTGGTGACGTCACTCGCAGACCTCGATGGAATACTTGCGATTCAGGCTGTGCTAGTGAGTTAATTTTTTCGTCGATTTTAAATGTAGAAAAGGTGATTTTTAGTCTGTTCAGAATTTGATGGTGGGGGAGTTATAGGGGAGTATAATATGACATAATTAACACATCACATAATCCAGTATACTCGAGTATGCTGGAGTATCGATGGTCGCAGGACGTAGCACTACTGTAGTCATCATCAGAGAACGCTTTATCCAAATAGAACTGCTTATTGAGCTGGAAGTGTCTGCCATGTGCACGCAATAATTCTACACTGTTTGTGACGTCACCTGCAGACCTCAACTCTTGGCGTAAAATGCATTATTCGAGTTTAAAACCTGTAGGTCAAAAAAAATTTCCTTGATGTTCAAATCAACTTTTCTACATTTATATCGACGAAAAAACTAACTCCCAAGCACCAAGGATGATACACACTACTACTACAGGATGGCCTATCTTCATAAGGCCTGTGTGGAACAAATTTCCCCACTCCTTCACATGCCAAATCACCTTGTGACGTAGGCAGCATTTTATTTCTCGCCTTGACGTAGGCTGTTTAAACTGCTGACGGCTTACTTATGACGTCGGAAATGGTGATATACCATTACTAATATAGCGGCAATCACTAAAAACGAGGCCAATAAGCAATCCTGTAGATGTGTATCAGCCTTACCCAAGCACAGCCTGAATCGCAACGGTCTGCGGTTGACGTCACCACTGACACCACTAAAACCGTAAATTCACAGTGATTTCTATTCATATTGGTCGTGTTTCATCAGTGCCGTATCAGTATAGTTTAAAGCCAAATGGAAATATCAGAACAGGTAGAAAAACGACACTGAGTTCATCCTGCATGGAAAAAAAGAGGTACAGAAGGGGAATTTATAGCATTATACCAAGAACTAGTAGTTGACTTCGCTGGTAAAATTACGTGCCGGTTACGGCACTGTTACGTAGTAGTGACATCACCCGCAGACCAGCTGCCGACTGCTCGAGACTGGCGAATGTACGTACGCCTATTCAAGGTTGCTTAAGTTAAAATGAACCTTTTTCAAACAACCTTGCGGTCCTTGCGCCCAATTAATTAGGTTGAGCTGAAGCCAATGAATTGAGCCATTGGTCGTGTTCACCAGTACTCAACATGTTGAGTGATAATAAGTAAGCGGCTTTGTTCCGAAAACTGGAATACACAAGGTAGAACAGGTTTGATTGGCCTGCGAATTTCGCAGTTATGAGTAATACTAGGCTTGAGGAGGAAAAAAAATACAACTTTTTAATGGATAAATCTACTCTATTTACTCTAAAACAATAGTACGAGTAAAGCCAGGGACACATCTATCATACATGCTTCCGATCCGACTCCGATCATACAATCAAGGTCCTTATTCTTGGAACAGGGGAGCAGCGGAACACTCGTTCTCCTCGGGAACGCTGCTCCCTGTTCCAAGAATGAGGACCCTGATTGTATGATCGGAGTCGGATCGGAAGAATGCATGATAGATGTGTCTCGGGCTTAGGGCGGGTATTATAAAACTGCTTTGACAGTTAACTTGAAGTTAACTTCTGGAATTACATGTAGTTCAAAAAGTTAACTTCAAGTTAACTGTCAAAGCAGTTTTATAATACCCGCCCTTAAACAGTTAAATTTAGTGCACTAAAACGAGAATTTCAGACCAAATTAGTTGTATTCCTTTCACACCTAGGAGGAGCTCTGGAACAGCTCCGGGGCTTCACGCGCTTATTCCTTTCGAAAAATGTTTGTTGCACCACGCATATGTTCCCTGCAAATCGGGGGCGACTAAGCACCGAAGCGAGTAGCTCCAGTGTTTCAAGCTCTTGAAAGGAATAACTGTTAATGTTGCCCGATTAGTTTCGAACAATAAAAAACCTACACTGGATTCATAATTGGTGTTCTAGAGGCAATAATAAACAGAATTTGAGTAAAAAAGTTGATTGGAACGAAATCTCTGAAAATTACGCAAACAAATCTACCAAGGGCGGGTATTATAAAACTGCTTTGACAGTTAACCTAAAGTTAAGTTTTTGAATTACATTAATTCCGGAAGTTAACTATAAGTTAATTCTTAAGGGCGGGTATTATAAAACTACTTTGAGAGTTAACTTGAAATAACTTCTGGAATTACATGTAATTCAGAAAGTTAACTTCAAGTTAACTGTCAAAGCAGTTTTATAATACCCACCCTAAAGTAGTTTTATAATACCCGCCCTAAATCCGAAAATGCCGATGATGTAGGCACCTGCAATGATAAATAGAATTCTATTTTAGTTAAGTCACTTGTCATTTTTAAAATAACATTTTTTCGTAAAGGCGTTTTTTCGCCAGGCGAATGGTTCAAACTACGGTTTAAACCAATTTGTAGATGACGTCATCGCTGGTGAACTCGAGGAAATGGAAGGTTTGAACACAGTCTTATGTCAACGGAGAACAAGCGAAGAGTCCGGTTCGAACTTTTTTGAATTAGGTTCAATGTGACGTCACTGGTTCAAAGCAAGAATGTACAGGTTCGAACTAAATTGAACCGGATCGAGCCAGTTCCACCGCGAGAAAACAGCTTTGTTCTCCGTTGAAATAAGACTTATGGTTCAAATCTTTCATTTTCTCGCGTTCACAAGTGATGACGTCATCTACAAATTGGTTAAAACCGTAATTGGAACCATTTGGCCCGCGAGAAAACTCCTAAAGTGAAAGAAGAAGAAGTTGAAAATTATAAATACTTTTATGTTGAGTTCGGCTTCATACTCTGTAAACTCTGACCGCGCTCGAAACTATAAGATTCTGTTCGTTTTAGCTCTCCAGAATATTCTTTTTTGTGTTGGGCTGCGTATGACGTCACGTTATCTATACTCATACCGTTCTGTTTCGTGGAGTGCAAAGCCAAAATCGTCTTGAATTTGTTTTCTAAAATGGTGGCCGTCTGTGAAACGTTTGGTTTCAACACGAATTTGACAGAATGACAGAATCGCCTTTTATAGATACGACAAATTCGTATCGATATGCAAGAAAATCGTATCGATACTTTTTCATATTGTCATATCGATACTGATGCATTCAGCCGACGTAAATTTCCGCTGTCACTTTTGTTCTAATGCCATTAACCTTGAAGAAAAAAAACAAGAAAATTATTTTCTCTACTAAATTAATTAATCTTTCCCAGTCTGTTTTGCATATTACCATCTAATTATCCTTGATAGTTAAACAAAAACAAAGCGAACAAAGGAAAATTGCATCCTCTAAAAGCAAAGATGCCCTGTGATAATTTCGAAACATCCTCTTTGACATAAATGTCCAAAAAATCTTTCAGTGTAATCACAAAAGTTGAAAAAAAAATAATGAAATAATTATTTGTCCATCAATTAATACAATGAACGAAGAAGATGAAGTGATGTACGAGGATTCAGGTAACGAAACAAGCGGAGACGATGTCGATTTCGCAATCGAGGCGGACAATCCGTCTAACCGAGATTTTTCTTGTTTCGAAGACGAGTACGAGTACCACTTCGAAGTACTATCTGCTGACGAAATTGTCCAGCACATGGTGGACTGCATAAAAGACGTCAACACTGTAGTCCAAATACCCCTAACAACAACCAGAATTCTGCTAAACTTCTTCAATTGGGACAAGGAAAAACTGATGGAGAAATTCTTTGATGGCAACCAAGATCAGTTGTTTAAAGAAGCCAGAGTTGTTAACCCTTTTAAAAAAGTAACAGTTGCCAAAACAATGGTTAAAAAGGCCTCTGGCACTGAAGAATGCAAAATTTGCTTTGTGGTTCACTCACCTACTCAAATGACTGGTTTGGAATGCGGCCACCGATTCTGTATCCAGTGTTGGAATGAGTATTTGCAAACCAAGATAATGGAAGAAGGGGTTGGGCAGACTATTGCATGTCCAGCTCATAATTGTCCCATTTTGGTGGATGATGAAACTGCTATGGGTTTGCTGAAAGATTCCAGGGTCAAGTTGAAGTTTCAGCATCTTATTACTAATAGTTTTGTTAAGTGTAATAGGCTGTTGAGATGGTGTCCTAGTCCAGATTGTAGCTACGCTATTAAGGTGAGTATTGGGGATTGGAGAATATTAATATTTTACATTATTTTTACCCAATTTGGGAGTAATTAAAGGAGGTATTCAACTGATATTTTGCAAATGTAAAAATTGAAATTTCCTTGTAGTTGCTCATCTATTGTTGTCTGCTGTATTGAAATTATTAGCTTAAGATTTGAAATTTTGGGAAAATTCCTCTTTACATGGAAAAAGTTTCAAAATTTTCCCTTCACTATAGGGTGACCATATGTACAGCATTTTGAGAGTCTGTCCAGCATTTGATTTTGTACAGCAAACGTACAGCGATTCGGATCATCTAAGTTTTTCTTAAAAATTGTACAAAAAATGGTCCGTCGATAACTAATGCCACATCTCTACATTTTTTTTTTCTGCAAATGCATTTTCCTACTTTATTTGTCTCATGTTTAGTAAATGAGAATTTTTATTTTTGGTTGAGAGTTATGTGTTTCAGGTCATTGTGTGTTTTCTATTGTCATCCAACTTTTTGTCAAAAAATAGAACTAAAACGAGCTAGAAGCTCTGTTCCAACCGACATGAGAACCGTTCCAGAACCAGTAATTTTCAGTTGCCCACCTATTTTTCAATAAGTTGAACATTTCAATATCCTATTTGAAAAATGAATTGATCGACTGGAAATTACCGTTCTAGAACGGTTATCATGTTGGTTGGAACAGAGCTAAAGTCGACAAAATTTGCCCAAAAAAAACCTTTTTCTGCGATTGACAAGAAATGTCAGCATTTTTGACCGGTTGACAGGTCGCAAAACTAAATATTCTGGTATTTTAATTATGTTTCAATAGTTTTTAAGGAATCAATAAATAACAATACAGGAATCACTTTTCTGGCCTAGGCCGGGAAAGTGATTCTCGTACTTGTGAATATTTGGAACAAAAAGACAAACATTTAACAGATATTTAACCGATCGCAGAAAAAATAGTAAGTATGTGTATTTCGGAGAAAAAGCACATTCTTGGTCTTCGGTGTTTGCCGGCCTCGGCTACGTCTCGCCCGTCAACTTACACCGTCGGCCGAGAATGTGTCACTTTTCCACCTAAATACACAATATACTATTATTGGGTGTGGCACCGTTTTTTTTTAGTGTTCTTCGCAATCTCCACTCACCTGTCCCAAAACTTTAAAAGTGTACAGCAATCATAAAAAAAAATATGGTCACCCTACTTCACTGGTTTTCCAGGAAATCTTTGAAATGTGTGAGACTGTATTTAAATTAATTCAGTTATTGTAGGTTGATTTCCAAGATTCCTCATATTGTAGTTTTCTACTTGAAAAATTTGAAATTTTGCGAAAATGAGCTTCTCACCTTCCTCTTTACACGCAAAAAGTTTCAAAATTTTTCCTTCACTAGTTTTCCAGGAAATCTTTGAAATGTGTGAAACTGTATTTTCAACCAATTCAGTTTTTGTAGGTTGATTTCCAAGATTTTTCATGTTGCTGTTTTCCACTGGAAAAATTTTAAATTATGGGAAAATGAGCTTCTCACCTTCCTCTTTACACGCAAAAAGTTTCAAAATTTTCCCTTCACTAGTTTTCCAGGAAATCTTTGAAATGTGTGAGACTGTATTTTCAATTAATTCAGTTATTGTAGGTTGATTTCCACGATTCCTCATGCTGTAATTTTCTACTTGAAAAATTTGAAATTTTGGGAAAATGAGCTTCTCACCTTCCTCTTTACACGCAAAAAGTTTCAAAATTTTTCCTTCACTAGTTTTCCAGGAAATCTTTGAAATGTGTGAAACTGTATTTTCAACCAATTCAGTTTTTGTAGGTTGATTTCCAAGATTTTTCGAAAAATTTGAAATTTTGGGAAAATGAGCTTCTCACCTTCCTCTTTACATGCAAAAAGTTTCAAAATTTTCCCTTCACTAGTTTTCCAGGAAATCTTTGAAATGTGTGAGACTGTTCAGTTATTGTAGGTGGATTTCCAAGATTCCTCATGCTGTAATTTTCTACTTGAAAAATTTGAAATTTTGGGAAAATGAGCTTCTCACCTTCCTCTTTACATGCAAAAAGTTTCAAAATTTTCCCTTCACTAGTTTTTCAGGAAAACTTTGAAATGTGTGAGACTATATTTTTAACTAATTCAGTTTATGTAGGTTGATTTTCAAGATTTTTCATGTTGCTGTTTTCCACTGGAAAAATTTGAAATTTTGGGGAAATGAGCTTCTCACCTTTCTTTTTACATACAAAAAGTTTCAAAATTTTCCCTTTTTGTAGAAGAATTTGTGGGGTATTTGGAGAAGTTCGTGGTGTAGTATTTGGAGCAATTTGTGATGGGATATCTGATATCTGGAAGAATTTAGAAAAATTTGTGGAAATTTTGAGGAATTATGCATGAAAAATTCCCCTTTGAGGAATTGTTTGCACCAATTCTAGGATGGAGGTTTACCTCTTGGATTTTAGTCTGTCAATAGCATGGCAATACCTGATAATATATGATCATACTAGGGAAATACCTGGCAATATGTGGGAATATTTTGTTAATACATGGAAATAGTTGGCAATAACTTGTTATTAGGTACATAGAAATATCTGTTAATACGTGGAAATATCTCAGAGGTGCAACCACTGGTAAACTGATTGCTTAAATCTATCCACATTTTCAATTGCTTTTATGTTGTCTGACAATATTCTATAAGCCTTAATGCCTATGAAGTAAGGGCCCTTCTCAAAAAATGTTGAGTAGTGGAGAGGAATACTCAAGTCACCCCTGTTTTTGGTCGACATAACCATATCAACTCCATAACATGCCTGATTGGTAGGAAATATGTGAATATTCTGTTTCACAAACATCACCAAAGATGCAAAGGACAGTGATGGAACAGTCAACACCCCCAACTCAGTAAGAAATGGTTTACAAGAGGCTCTAGGATGTAGGCCCAGGATACATCTCAGGATCCGCTTCTGAAGTCTGAAAACTAGTGGTGTCTCTTTTAATGCACCCCAAAAGCATATTCCATAACTAATGATTGATTGGATTTGACCTAAGTAGAATAGCTGAACCAACTCGAGTCAAATGACCAGTTTCAGGAGACCACACAACCTTCTCAACCTCAACTGAAGCGAATCAATATGAACTTCCCAATTAGGGTCAATATGGAGTCCCAGAAACTTTAAGTGATCAGTGAGCGGAACAGTCCTTCCATCCATTCGAACAAGAAGAGACTCCAAGTTATTTTGAGTCTTGGAAAAAAAATATTAAACCTGATTCTTTCATCCTCCATTCCAACTCTGGAAGAGGTCGCCATTATTAAATCGAGCTACCACAACAGAGGTGTCATCAGCAAACTGACAAATGACCTCAGACAGAAACCGCTCAGCCAATTCATTGATATAAAACAAGAACAACATGGGACCTAGGATGGAACCCTGCCTTAAACTGGCCATTCCAGAAAAAAACTGAACACCATCCCTGACAACACAAACAGCCTGCTTCCTGCCCAACAAATAAGACTTCAGCAAATTCGCTGCAGCACCTCTAACACCATAATGGTATGCACAGCATCAGAGAATGGTCAACCGTATCGAGGTCTGCAACCTTGAAGTTTTTATCCATTTGGTCAGTTATATATTTTATTGCATGGAAAATTGCCATGAAGATGTTGATTGTATGCTTTTTGATAGAGTTTTCCTACTTGAGAAAAGTACTGATTTAACTGATTAGATATATCAACAGTTTTAGTGTACTGTATGGTTTTAATAATTAAAGTTATTATAAGCTATTGTCTGAAATATTAATTTTTGTGATAAACTTTCCTGTATTAAGTCTATATTGAAGTCGCCCAGTACCCAGTCTTGAGGACGATATACCCCACTCACTATTATCCCTTCACCAACCTGTAGAAACAACTTTGAGCACTTTGTATTATATCTGTAGACCTCTGAGAAATCGAAACTTCCCTTTATAAACATTCCGACACCGCCTCCTTCCTTATCTCTGCAAACATACACAAAGTTGTACCCGTTCAGATTAAAATAAGGTTCTTCACCTGTTCTCACCCAAGGTTCAGTTACTACTATTACATCTGGCATATTCAACTTATTCACCAATGTTTCAATTTAACATCGCCCACAAAGTAATCTTCAACAATACAATAAATTCCTGTTACATGTGACTACTGAGCACTTTTCCTTATTCACTGGCATTTTTTTATCTTTGAACCATTTTTAAAAGAAACCGTTTTAAAAAGCTTAAAATCATCAGCATACAACAAACTATAGGATGACATCAAACATTCATGTAGATCATTTATAAATATTATAAAAAGCAGGGGACCCAAGTTGCTTTCTTGGGGAACTCCCGACGTAGAAACAAATTGACCAGAAAACGCATGTCCAACTTTGACGAACTGTTGGTGTGAGAGAGACCAAAATTAGCCGACTTACTCAGCAATATGCCTTGTCAAATGCCTTTGCACAATCAGTGTATATAACATCCAGTTGTTTCTTATTAGTGATGGCTTCAGACATACATTCCGAGAAACAACATAGGTTGATAACTGTAGATCCAGGAATTCTTATTGAAGTTGCGGTTGCGAAATATTATTATAAATATGACACAAAAGGTCCCTGTACAGAATTTTTCCAATTATATTACTTATGGTCGTTTCCACCAATAATTTTAGGGGAGCCTAAACGATAAGTATTCCATAAAATGACAGTTTTTCATTGAGAAATGTCACTACTTATCGTTATGGCTCTCCTAAATTAGTTAGAGGAAACGGCCATTAGACTATTCAGTAAGCTTATTGGCCAGTATCTTCTCTGTTGCCATTCGTAAAAATAGGCGAAATTACTGCTGTTCCAAGCAGTGGCGGCTCGTGACTATTTCAAGTGAGGAAGCTAATTACAGTATAGGATTTCATGAAATTCCTCAAAATTCCATTAAGATTTCAATTTCAAAATTCCATATTTTGTTTTTTTAACTTTACTAAAATTCCTCAAAATTTTAACACTGAAATATCCTGGAA